AGGCAGTCATCCGATAGGTGCAGCACCGGCGGCGTCTGGACGCGCCTTGGACCGCCGCAGCTTCCCGTTGTGACCGTCCCTCTCCGGCCGGTGAGTGCCGGGCTTTCCGCTTCGGAGCGGCCGAGGGAGGGCTGGCGGCGCCCTCGCCGCCGCCCGCTTGCCCGCCGGGAGCGCCGCCGAGCGGGATGCCGGGCAGCCCCAAAGCCCGGCGCTTCCCGCGGAAAGGAAGGGCTTCGCTCGCCTTCGGGGACCAGCTCGGGCCCCGGAGACGCCGCCGCGGGAAGAGGCGCGCGTTGGTGCTCCCGGGCGGAGGCGGAGGCGGAGGCGGAGGCGCCTGCTGTCTGCTGCCTGCTGCCTGCGTCCCGCCGAGGGGGCTTCGCCTGTTTGCGCAGCCCGGCGGGGAGGCGTCCGGTGGCAGAGCCGTTTGCATCGCCCCCCTTTAGAACTCGGGACTCTGCGGGGGGGGAGGCGGGAGGCAAGCCCGCACGTCAGAATCCCCTCGGAGTCGGGGGAAGCTGCCGCGCCTTTTTTCTTAAATGTCAGCCAAATTCAACCCCCCCCCCCCCGCTTCTCTCCCGGCAGGCGATCCTCGCCGTTTGCCCCCCTCGTGCTTCTCCCTGCACGCCCGGCCGGCCTTGGGTGTGGATCTGTGCAGGGAAGCCTCCGGGTTGGCTTTGGCTCGCTCGCCGCCTTCCTGGGCGGGGGCGCCAAGGACCCCCCCTTCCACCCGCCCCAGGTCTCTGCCTTCGCCTTGAGCGCCCGCGGAGGCTCTCCGTCGTCCTGGTTGCCCCAAGGGGGCTTTTTCCAGGAGGCGACTGGACTGCCTCGTTTTTCTTTTGAAGACGTTTCCCTTCTCATTCCAAGGAGCTTCTTCCGCTCAGGGCGGCGTTGCCAACTAGAGGAGCTAATAAGGGGGCTGGAGGTCTTTGCAGTGTTGGAGGTGACCGAGTTGCTGCTGCTGCTGACGATTGGTCTGTGTGGTGTCCCCTCTTTGTGGGTTTTGGGGCGTCCATGGATGCTTGGCGTGGCTTCCCCGGGTAGAGACGGTAGTATTGGGTCTTGTCGATGAGAGCCGAAGAGGCTTCTTGGATGAGAAGCGAAACGTCTTGGAAGAAGAACAAGAAAGTCCAGCTGCCTCCTGAAAAAGCGCCTTCGGGGCTTCGCCTTGAATGTTAACTCGGCAGCCCGTCCGGGCCGGCGCAGCCCTTCGGCCGCCTCTTTGGGGCTGGAGAGACGGCTAAGCGCCTTTTGTCCCCCCTCCCCCCCCGTCCAGGCTGCAGCCGTTCCCCTCCAGCAGGAGACGGCGCCTGGGGGGACCCCGTCGCTGCAGAGAAGCCCAGCCTGCCTGGGGGAGGGGGGGACTGGAGTCGGGCTTCCCCGAAGTTGCTGCCGCCGCGGGGCAAAGCGCCTCCCGAGCGCCTAGAAAAGAGGGGGCGACCCGGGGCTCCGGGACTTGCTAAGACAGGCCTTCCCTGGGCCGGCTGAGCTGCTCGCCTGAAGCAGCCGGACCGGCTTTTAATCTGCATATAATTTAATCTGCTTGCATAAACAAAGGGACGGTACGCCACGCGGTAGAGCTGTTGGGCGACTGCTCCTTTTGGCAAAGGGCGAGTCCCGGTTTGAGGAACGGGGCGTGCGGTGCGGCGGATCCGCCGTGGGAAGCCGAGACAAGCGCACCCCGCAAGGTCTCTGGAGGCCGAGAGGGAGGGAACTCTTTAGGAACCGCGTTGGTTAACAGCAACGTGACTAGTTCTGTCAATTAAGAGTTGACTAGAGAAGGTAAAAAGGTGGTATCTGATTAGGATCTTGATGTCGTTAGAAAGACTGTAGTATTTGAAGCGTGGGGATGTATAGATAAATCCCATTGATGGGGGATGGGTTAAGCTCAGGCTTGCAGACTGGACAGAGCAGGGACGGAGGTCTATTACTTCAGCCTCCATTGGGAGAGGCTGGGAGCTGCAGTTGATGATCATCTGTGGACGGTGTCCCTGCAATAGTGGCAGGTGAAGGCAGGAATTCAGGCACAGGTACACATCTCCTGAGGGTGAAGGTCAAGGTACCTTCAGCCCACGCTCTGCCAAACTCTCCCGACATCATCTTTCAGCAATTTAAAAAGGAAAAGGTTGAAGGTATTACTAATTATTACTACTAATCGGAGGTTGAAACCTGTCATTAACCTCTTGTAAGTCATTCAGAGATCTACTAACAGATTATATTCTTCCTGATAATCCCGAGTCAGAATGGGTAAATTAAACAGGCGCATCTGTTCTTGCCAAAATAGCACAATTTGATCCGATGTGTCTTTGAATTCTCTCTTTTCTAAAGCTCACTGCTGCATTTTCAGTAAGGCGTCTAGATTGCTATGCCATCAGTTCTGCATTTGCTTACTCAGAAATAAAATTCTGTGAGCTTTACCTTCAAGCAAATACACAGGAAATTGGAGCCTTAAACTGCAGCTCTACACAACTCACTGAGGTTTACTTCTGAGTAAATGGGCTTAGGATTCTGTCTAAGGGATTTCTTAAACATCCGAGTGGTTAAAACCCTGTATGAGAATGAAACAGCAGAGGCTCCATTGACACAATATGGGAATAAGCTAGCAAAAACACAAACAGGCTTATGAAAGTCAGCAGTTTCTTCACATACAGTTTGTTCTCTATTTTCCTGCTGAAGTAATTTTGCAAATTTATGAAACAACCTGAAGTGAGTGGTTTGAAATGGTATTTAAATTCAGCAGGTTTTTATCCTTTTTCACAATTTCCACAAAAGAGCTTTCTGAATCAGAAAAGTGGTCGTTTCTCGTCTAATTCAGCATCAAAAGGGTGATACATGCTTGCTGGTTTCCTAACCTGTAACTGAATTGGTACTTTGGTCTCTACATGCTGGGAGATGAAACAGCCACCAGAGTTGTAAAGATGAGATCATCACTTGGGGGAATTAAGGTCTTAGTGTCAATGGAGCAGGAATCTGTAATTCAGTTCATGCACACTCATTCTTATTTTAAAACTTTTGCATTGCAAAAGATTTATAAAGATACTGTCCAATTTCTAAAATCCCCAGTCTTTAATATACAGGAAACATATGGATTTCAAGATTTATGGGAGGAAAAAATATTGCTCCTCAAATTCGTTATTTTTATTACTTGGAAATATCCAGTTAAGACACTGTAGTATTTTTTTATTACCGATATTGTTGACTTTGGTAATACGCAGAAATTTCCTCCATTATCATCTCAGTATAAACGGATTTTGCAGGTTTTTAAAAACCTTCAGAACTTTGCAAAAAAATGTGGATCAGCAGCACCTAGTGAATTGATTGCAAGGAGGTGTATTTACTATCGCTGCACAATGATTTTGTTACATTTTGTGCTACAGAGAGATTAAAATCTGAAAAAAATATTAAATGATGCAAAGTTTGTTCAGTATTCTTCCAGGATATTGATGAAGCAAGAGAAAGATTTATATGTTATGAATATCCCTAGAAAAAGGAACACATGCGGGATTGTTTCATCGTTTCTAGTTGCTCCTGAACAAACAGGTTTCTTATATGGGTCTTAGAATTTCTTCCCTACAGTATAATAACTCTTAAGAGTAAAATATATCTAGCCCAAACTTTACCCTAACTTTAGGAATGTAAGTAGGGATAGCTGGCAATAGAATAGAATAGAATAGAATAGAATAGAATCAGAGTTGGAAGGGACCTTGGAGGTCTTCTAGTCCAACCCCCTGCTCAGGCAGAAAACCCTATATCATTTCAGACAAATGGTTCTCCAGTGTTGGAGCATTCACAACTTCTGGAGGCAGGTTGTTCCACTGGCTAATTGTTCTCACTGTCAGGAAGTTTCTCCTTAGTTCTAGATTGCTTCTCTCCTTGATCAGTTTCCACCCGTTGCTTCTTGTCCTGCCTTCAGGGGCTTTGGAGGATAGCTTGACTCCCTCTTCTTTGGGGCAGCCCCTGAGATATTGGAACCCCGCTATCATGTCTCTTCTTAAAAACTTCCAATGTTGGAGGATTCACAACTTCAGGAGGCAAATTGTTCAATCACACAGCAAGGGCCATATCAACTCTGTTGATAGCCCGCATGTCATGAGTTTTTGTACTATGCCCTTCTTTCATCTTGGTGGGAAATCGTCAGCCATTATTAACTGGAAGTAGATCTGAGGGATAAAACCGAAGCTTCAGTCAGTCGTTTGGCACCTGCTTCCTTGCCCTGACATAGAGAGCGGTCAAGGTATGTTCAAAAAAAGTTGAACATTGGTTGGTGGTCACAACGGGGTGATTGAGGCTCAAAGTGGACCATCATCTGGATTTTTTAGCCACATCTTGTCCCATTTCTAGGCATCCCTGATTCTAAGTTTAGGAGGCCATCAGATATGCCCCTCTGGGTGGAGCAGGGAACGTGTGAGGGGAGCCGTCTGTTCCCAGTACAGAGACCCAATTGGCTGCCATACAGTATTTGGGGCATGCTTGGAACTTGGGAAAGTTTTAAAGGAGCCGATGCCAACGGGCACAAGGTCTTCCGTGCAGTAACTCAGTGTACTTGCTGTTCACCTTGATGTTAGCCAATATTTTGTTTTATTTTGCTGTCTTTAGCAGGATTTATTTTTTCTTTCAGGCCTTTGGTTATATAGTTTGTTTGTGTGGTTGTAAGGTATGTTTGGCTGTTACCTCTTGCTTTTTGTTCTGGAGTCCAATGAGAGAGAAGTGAAAGCACAAGACTCGGTTGGTATCAATCAGGAAATTCATAAAGAAGAGTGTATTGATAACACTAATTCCTATCCACTCTCTAATTCATGTTGAGGTTCAAAATGGGTAAAGAGAAAAGTTGTACTGGGTCAGCTACTCCATCGTCCCCCAAAACTGGGAATGAAGACAAAGGTCTTGAGCCAAGTGTTGCCCCAAATGACAAGTCTGTTCTTTTCTTCTCAGAGTCCAGAAAAAAGAAGAAGCAAAGTCACTGAAAATAGGAACCGGTTGCCTAACGGAATGAATCCACCAGCCATCCTCTTTGTCATGCTGAGCGCACTCATCACACAGGGGGCAGCTTCGGTACGTTGCACAACCCTCCAGCGATACAACTGACAACGGCTGGGACTTGCTTCCATTTTTGAGCATAAATATGAAGCTTCCGCTCCTTCCCATGACCCAAACTTATTTTTAGCCCTTTTTTCTTCCCTCCCTTGTGGTTTCTCACTTATAAACGTAGACAACCTTTTGTTTGGTGATGTGTGAGTGAGTTGGCACTTGTTGTAACTGAGCTAGCCATGTTATAGGTTTATTCTAAAGCAGTAAGTGACTTCAGCGTTTTAGTCACTGCCCCTCCTGGTCCTGCCTTACTCCTTTTTTATATATCCTGCATTTCCCGCCCCCTCCCCAAAATGCTGGACTGTTTTCTAGGCTTTTCTTGTTTCTGGCCTTCCTGTCTTAGGGCTTTGACCTGCTCTTTCTAGAGCAGCTTAGAGAAGGTCTGGCTGCTGACCTCCGGACAGGGCGGTAAGAAAGTTCAAGTCAGTTGCTGTGATGGTCTGACTGAAGTTCTTCCCGTTCATCAAAACAAGCGGAGCTTTAATTATATCTTTACAGCCACCATATCACCTTTTTTTAAAAAAAAACAACCCTGTATCCTTGGGACACCTGAAGGCAGCTCATCTAATCAATGTAGGCGAAACCTCTAGGGGGGCAACTGATTTTCCCAAGGGGCCACATGAGAAACTGGGACTGTTGTGAAGGGTTGAACCAACAGGGCTGGGAAGGTGCATGCATGGACATACATAAATGGAAAAAAAATAATAATAGTTGCTTTCAAACCAAAAGCAGTTTTCTACTGTGTCTTTTTAAAAAAAATATATCATCTAGATGTTTTAGAACCTGTAGCTTTCTTTTTGAGCGGAGAACTGTACCAAGCTTTTGTAAGGAGCTACATTTAATCAAATACATTTTAATTTATTACATGTCTTAAATACAGTTTAATTTGATTTGTCCATCAGTAGGCAGTCATTTTTTCCTTTTACATTAATAATGCAGTTTGGGATCAATGTTTGGAGGGGCATCTATGCTACCAGCTACCGGCAATTCTTCCTGAATTATTCTCAGAGTTTTCAGGAGGAAAAGCAAAGTCCTGTTTTGGAGCTGGTCCTACAAGGGCGGATCAAATAAGAAAAGAGTTGTTAATGTGCTAATCCATGTCTGTGTATTTATAGATGTTGTTCTGTTTTAGACTTACCATTGGCAGAGACAACAGAAGCTGTCAAGCAAAATTAAATATGACCACAAAGGTAAATAAACTTTTATCCTTTTTGTTGCCCTTTAAAGATTGCTATGGTTTGGTCAAGTACCAAATTACAAATTGCCACAACGTGTTTGACCTCAAGGAGCAGCAACTTTCACGGGGGGGGGGAAGGGGGGAGAAAAGTTGTAGAGGGGGTTTGGGTTCACTAAGTCCATAGTGTGCATAACACATACTGCATATTTATGTTTTAATAAAACGTATGATTTTTAAAATATCTGATTACAGGTTGCGGCTGTTTGAATGGAGGGACTTGCTTGACTTACGGGCTGTTTTCTCAAATTAAGTCCTGCGTGTGTCCTGAAGGGTTTGATGGAGATCACTGTGAGATAGGTACTTCTCAACAACTTTTTCATTCCTTCAGCTGGGGAACTGGTGGGATGGGATAATCCGGCGCATACCAGGGCATCTTGGTGCTCTTGCACAGCCCTGCCACAGCCCCCTTCACGCACGCAGGAGCCTCTCGCAGCTGGAGGAGGCCGCTGCCATGACCCAAAGGGGAGGAGACTGAAGCTTCTTTATGCAGGTTCTGAAACCAGCACTCATCTCTCAGCCATGACTCAGCCTTGGCTCTTTTCTTTCCCCCAGATGTTGAAACCAGATGTTACACTGGGGATGGCACCGATTACAGAGGGACTGAGTCAGAGAATGAGAATGGGGACAGGTGTCTGTATTGGAACTCTGAGTTACTCAAGAGGTGGCCCTACAATGCGCACATGGAAGACGCGCTGGAGCGTGGCTTAGGCAAACACAACTATTGCAGGTAACAATGTCAGTGTGTATAACCCATTGCGCTTTGCAACCAGAGTTGTATTTCCTGCCTTCCACGTTCCCTTCTGTACACTTCTGATAAAAGCAATGATGGCAGATTCTGCCACTTCGGTGCCAGGCGACATATTCTCCTCAAACGCTGGAAGGCCTCATTTTTTCTCCTCCTTTGACATAGTCTCCTGGTGCAAGGCTAACTTTGTTTCTATTGGCTAAATAAGAGAAGGACTTTTGGCTGTGGCCATCGACCAAAAGTTCTTTTCCAGAACGCTCAGGAATTGTGTTCTTCTGTCGGATGATTATATGAAGCTTTTGCAGGGTTAACGCTGCAAGGAATCTTTCATACAAATCTTAAAGGTAATTTTTGATCTTTCTGACTGTTAATCCTCATGAAGATGTTTTGTGGTTTTCCAGGAATCCAAATGGCCGTTCTAAGCCATGGTGTTATGTTCGGAAGGGATTTCGCACTTCTGCGACACCTTGTGACATACCCACATGTCAAACCCCCCGTAAGTTGCTATATAGGTATGATGAGACCCAAAATTGGAGACTGGAGGGACGTTAATTACATTCACACGAAGTCAGCTGGCTGTGTCCTATTTGGAACCTGCAGTGCCTGAAACCTGGCCAAGAGTGGGCTAAGAGGAGCAGAGATGCCCCTTAATAGGGAAGGGTGTGCGGTGTTGCACGTAGGGAGGAGAAACGGAGACCCCGGGTATGAGGCAGAGGATTTGTGATCTGGAAATGTTCCATCAGAAAAGGACTTGGTGAGGTCATAGGAAACAAGGGGAGACTGAGGGAGCTGCTGGAAGGGCTAGTGCAGTTCTAGCGTGCGTTAGAAACAGCACAAAGACGTGTGGCATCTATTTTCTTCTGCTTTGCACTGGTGAGACCATACCTGGACTATTGCGTTATAAGTTGGGACACAATATTTCCAGAAGAACGTGCCAGTTTAGTACAGGTTCAGGGGAGAGTGACCAATATGGTATGGGAGCTGGATGACATGCCACATGAGGAGGGCAGGCAGAAGAAACATTGGCTATTCAGTCTGGAGAAAAGATAAATAAGGAAAAGATGAGAGATCGAATTTAGAACTAAGGAGAAATTTCCTGACAGTAAGTGGAACAGCTCCCCTCCAAAGTTGTGGGTGCTCCAACACTGGAGATTTTCCAGAAGAGGCCGGAGGGCCATTGGTCCAGCATGGCAAAACGCCTCCTGCTCAGGCAGGGGGCTTGGACCAGAGGACTTCCAAGATCCCTTCCAACTCTTGTTATTCTATGCTCTATCATGTCCGTGTTTAGCAATAAAAGAGGGCCAGGAGAGTCGGGAGTCATTTTCCACAGCACAGAAACAGGACCAACAAGAATGGGTTTAAATTGCAGCTACTTAGAGCATGAAAAGATTTGTGCCACAGCAGAACAATGACGGTGGCAGGTTCCCCATCACTGGAGTTTTTTAAAGGAAAAGCTAGAGAGCCACCCAAGTATGGTGGCTTAATTGGTTTTCCAGCAGATTGAAGAACGTAGGAGGAGATTACAGTATTATTATGAGTGCTTCTACAATTCCACAGATCCATGATTCAGTAGAAATGTAGCATGTTACAAAAATGTCTGTGGAAAAATGCATATATTTATGAAAATAATGCACTAAAATGCATATTAAGAACTTTTATTTGTATATTTGGTGGGCAAAAATGTAATCAAATGTATACATTTAGAAAAATGCACAGAGGAAGCAATAGGTTATAATGTAAACTTTTAAATATTATTAAATTTGATAAACCCAATTTGACGTATTCATGAAAATAGCTGAGTATGTGAAAAACAAAGCAAAAAAATGATAGACGTACCATACCCCACTTAAAACCAAAGCGGGTTATAGTGCAGAGAATCCAGATTTTATTGTGAGAACCAGAAAGTCCTGTCTGACAATTGCTTTTTTAAAACATTTGAAAGATGGAGGTCTCGGGGCTGTCCATTTTCAAGTGGTTTTAGAGAAACCTAAAGTGTTCCCCGAGTGAGAGGGAGATTTTCTCCTTAGGTTATCCATTGTCCAGAGAGTTTCTTTTTGCCAAGCCCCTTTTAGTCCATTTTTAGCCCTTTTTAACCCAGTTGCAAGTCTGGGCAACGGGAGCTAACTAGGTTTATCTCGTAGAGCGTTTGTGGAATAATGGACCATTCAGGTGTTCTTCAACTGGAAATCCTGCAACCTCAACAGTGGGAGCTGGGGGGAATTTCCGTTGTGAAGCAGCTGGGGGGGCCACAGATGCCCCCGTAACTGAGCTCTTAGGTGCCATCAGTGAAGGAGACGGGAACTGTCCCCCAGGAAGGGCAATCTTACTGCTTCCAGGTGGTGTCAAGTTCAAACATCTTTGCTCCCTGCTGTGTCTTCTCAATTTCTGAGAAGCCTTTGCAGAAGGTGCAAAAATATTTGTAAAAATGCACTCCTATTTCAACTCCTCCTTATCCAACCTGCCAGCTTCCTTCCCTAATGTGCAAGGGGGGGGGGTTGGTTTTTTTGGTTTTTTTTTTTTGGTGGAGGCAGAATGAAAGTCCCTTCTCATTTTGTAGTCCAAAATTATACAGACCTGGGGAAGGGTTTTTGCTAAAGTTTGGTTGGCTGAGAATCTGCTTTAGTAAAATAAGCCATTTCAGAGGAGATTTCCCACGACGGGGAATCTAGAGTTTCATGTACAGTGTGATGAGGGCAGGAGGCTTGCCTGTTGTACCACCTTGTTTGTCATTGGAGCAGACCTTTGAGGAGGAACGTTGTTGCTTTCTTTTCTTTCACAGGCAGGGCGTGTGGCCAGAGGAACATAATCAGGAGCTTCAAGATTGTGGGTGGGCAGATGGCCCCCATTGAGTCCCAGCCTTGGATAGCCACCATCTTCCACTCCAGAGGGAACCAGTTTTTTTGTGGTGGCAGCCTCATTGACCCCTGCTGGGTCCTCACAGCAGCACACTGCTTCTCGGGCATGTAGGTACCCCACCCCACCCCACTCCCCAAATTCCTCCCTTCGCCTCGTCTTCATTGCTAAGTGAATTGTCTGGACAGGGTCAGCTTCTGCAGCAGCGAAAGGAGGGTAGTCATCTGACGGAAGGCACTTCTATAAAATAATCTCCCAGGCTTATGCAGAAGTGACTACCTTAATAAAATTAGGAAAGACCTATTCTCCTAGAAATAGATTTGCAACCGCAGCTTATGTTGTTAGCTCTATATTCAGTTGAAAGTGAAGACTCCTTCAAGTTGAGTTCAGTTTCTGACAACCTCTTAGCAACTGCTTAGAAGTGATTTGTTATTATCTCCTTCTGGGAGGTTTTCTTACTCCCTAGTTTGATCTGTTTCCTGTGATCTCCTTCCCATAAACTAATCTGGCTGGACGTGCTCAGTTTCAGAGCCCAGATGAGGCCAGGGGGTCTCCTTGAGTTAGCAGCCCTGGTCCCGCTCTCTGTCCTCTTTCCATGCCTCTGTTCCCAATTGAGGCTGGTCCTCCAGGTTAAAAAAACAAACAAACAAACCAAGAAAACCAAACAGATTTTGTGCCCCTTGAAGTTGGGCAAAGACCACTTTAAACAGCTAGAAATGACTTAGCTCTTTCCCTTCAAGCTGAATTTTATGAAGCACTTTGTGTGTCTGTGCAAAGAATATAATGAGTCAAATAATTGTAAAAGTTCAACAAACAAGTGAACAATGACAGGATGAAATTGCTTGGTGGAAACATCTTTGAAATTCACAGCTGTACACTATGTGCCTTTTTTTTTAGTGGCTCTGATACATCCAGGCTCATCATTAGGCTGGGAAGGTCTGCAACGAACGTCACCAACGCAAATGATCAAGAATTTAGTGTCGAGAGGCTTATTATTCACGAGGCGTACTCACAACAAAACAGAGATTATAACAATGATATCGGTAAATGACTTTCTGCATTGTCTTCCTGTCCAGCACAAAACTTTCTGATTTGATTCTCATGCTGAAAAACAAAATGGGGGATGGTGACCACAAATAACAGTTTAGAAAAATCTCTTCTCCTTTTCTCCAAACTAACGATGTGTTTATTCACTAGCAATGTTTTTGAGAATATTAATGTTAATATTGTTACAGTCAAACATTTTGAGAATCAGAAATGCCATATTTCCTTTTTCTAGAAAGAGTGCATATGTAGAAAGTTAAGAGAGCAGTTTAGTATTTGAAGAGACTAGAGTTAGACAGAGACCAATCATTCAGGGTTAATTTGACCGCTATCTTAGCTCTGGTTTATAATCTGGATGCAGGAACTATGATTTTACAGTTAAGTTAGATGTAAATTAGGGAGGAATGTTGTTGCACATGTATTTAGTTCTAAATTTGCCTATACTTAGCATAGGGCTACTTAAGTAAGAGAAGTCCCATTGGTTTTGTTGTATTTTTTCTTAAGTACGAATCCAGCTAATTTGAGTCCAGTGTGACTTTGTGTGACCCAGGAGGATAAATATTAATTGATTAATATTTATTTCTTGGACTAAGTAAAGGAAAGGAAACAGAGCTACTTGAAAGCTATATTTTCTAGCTGAGATTACAATCTAAATGATTGTTTGGAGACCGGGGAAGAAAGATCAAAGATTTGGATTTTGTATTTTAACTTTGGAAATACACTTATCAACACATAATGTGAGTTAACACACAGGCAGACTAAAACATATTAAATTATTTGGAAAAGCGATTGGAATGAGTAGCCTTAAATACAGATTAGGTGATTTTTTTTTCATCAGAATGAATAATTGAAGGAAACTTTTTGCACAGTTTTGCTATACTCATTTTTTCCTTCTTCTCTCTCCTTTTAGCTTTAATCAAGATCAGGTCCCCTTCTGGCCAATGTGCGAAAGAGTCGGGCATTGTCGGAACCATCTGTTTGCCCTCAGAGGATTTGAGGCTGAGAGATCATTCCCACTGTGAAGTTTCTGGCTATGGAAAACAAAACAAAAGTAAGTGGGTGGTTTTTCCCTCCCTTCAGACGTCTCAGAGTTTGGGAAAGAAACCAGACAAGAGTATGATTGAAGCTCCACCTATTTTTTTATATATGGTGCATGAGAAATGGGTGGAGCTTTGATCGAATTATTACGGCCCCTATTTTGACTGTCTCGACCACACCTGTAGCCCCACCCTTGCAAAGCCTCAAATTTGTGAAGAACAGACTCTGCAAATGTGACTGGAACGTGGGCTGCAAGCAAGGTTTCTGGCATGTGGGAATCCTCACTCCCTTCTGTTTTCTCTTTCTCTGAAGTAAAAAAGTTCACGTCCATTTTGTCTCATACCAGTTTCATCTGCTTTGTCCACAGCAGCCATTTACTACTCGCGAGTACTGAAATCAGCCAATGTACAGTTAATGCCCCAGTCCACGTGTAAAAGATACTACGAGGGTCACAGGGTGAATGAGAACATGCTCTGCGCTTCAGACTCGGCGTGGAAGTCGGACTCGTGCAGCGTAAGTTTGTTTAGTTAGGGGGCATTCACACATTTTGGTAGCTACAGAATACTCTGGTGTGAAGAGGGCTACGCAAAGGGGGGCTACGAGTCTGTGTAATACGCTACACTTGTCTAATCTGGGATGGGTGGAGCGCGCTATCGCAATATATCATCAGAACTGAACTGTTGCTTAGCACTCTGGGTGGACCAACTCAACACACTAAGCCACAATCTTTGTCTGGATGGGGCATTTACAGATAGTCCTCGACTTACCACTGTTTGTTAGTGACCGTTTGAAGTTACAGTGGCACTGAAAAAAGTGACATGGCCGTTTTTTCACACGACTGTTGCAGCATCTCCGTGGTCACATGACCAAAATTTGGGTGCTTTGCAACTGGCATGTATTTATGACACTCGCAGCGTCCTGGGGAGGGTGGGGTTCACGCGATCCCCTCTTGCAACCTTCTGACAAGCAAAATCAACGGGGAGGCCAGAATCACTTAACCACCGTGTCGCTAACTTAACAACCGCAGTGATTCACTTAAAAACTGTGGCAAGGAAGGTCACAAAATGGGGCAAAATTCACTTAATAACTGTTGCTTAGCAGTGGAAATTTTGGGCCCAAATTGTGGTCGTATGTTGAGGACTGTCTGTACTTGTTTGTACACAGCGGCTGAGTTTTGATAAGCAACGCTGAGTGTGTTGGGCGAAGATCATCCCTGGACACAAAAGTGCAGGCAGGAACTCTTCATCAGGGAACACGTTCTTCCTTGTTTAAACACGAGACAAATGCGGCCTGCTGCAAAGCAGAGCCACCTCCTTGAGCACAAGTTGTTTTTCCCGTGGTGTCACTCACTGGCGTAAGCCTGCTTGCAAAAGAGAAATGGCGGGAGGCCCAGGAGCCCCGGGCTCTGTTAGAAATGCCCAAATGCCCAGGAAGAGGCGAGGGGGCAACCGGGAGCATCAGAAGCACCTGGCCAGCCGGCTTCCCGTACTCTCTTTTGGGACTGGGGATCGGAGCTGGGCAGCTGCTACTTGCAAGCCTCGAGTTCCCTCTGCTGGGGCTTCTGCTGGGCTGGTCTTCCCCTTGGAAGTCAAGGATCCGGTCAAGAGGGGAGACCCTTGACATGGGGGCTGAAGCTCTTCCGGCCCCTGGAGAAGACTTCTGCCACTGCCTGGGGCTCAAGGGGCCACAGCTGAAATTGTGCTGCCTTCCCTTGCTGATAACCTTCCGCCTTGCTTGGTCTTTCCAGGGAGATTCGGGTGGTCCCCTCACCTGCATGTATGGCGGCAGGATGCTCCTCTACGGGATCGTCAGCTGGGGAGACGGCTGTGCAAAGGAAGGGAAGCCCGGCGTGTACACGAGAGTCAGCAGATACATCCCATGGATTGAATCCAACATGAACAGAATCCATTTCAGAAGCTTCTACCCTCCGAAATGAAGCGGGGGTTGTTTGGTGTGTGTTTCCGCTGCTTGGCGTTAGCCATGATGATGTCAGACACATGGAACTTGAGCCAAGTCTTTGCAGGTGTTGAAGTGCCCAGCCCTGCGTTGGAGTTGGTGGTTCTTTTCAAGGTTTTGTGGGATCCCTTTGTCAAAGTTCAGGCAATTTCTCTCTGAAGGAGAGACGCTCAAGCCACTGCTGAGAAGGGCACAAAAACCATCCCACGCCAAGCCAGCCTGCCTCGCTCGTCAATAAGACACGGAGCTGGGATTTAGATCATGCCCCCAGAAGGGCTGGTGTTATACAATCGTGATGATTTTTTAAAAAAGATTTTAGTAAGGTTTTAAAATTGATAATTAACTTACTAACAGCTAGCACTACCCAGAAATGTACAATTTGATATTATTTTAAAATATCGCAGAATTAATTTGAATGGAATTTAAAACTTTTAAGTGAGGTTGCACTGTCAAGTTGATCTTTGCTTTATTATTTAGCTGGCTTTTTAACAGCCTTTTCAAAAAATTGAAAATGCAATCTGACATAATATTGAGGTAAAAATACATCATTACTCAGAACGTATTGACATTCCAGTTTCTATGAAAACATTAGTGTAGATATAAAGATACATTAAAAATTACTGATAGGTTTTACTCCAGTTGTGTTTTACTTGTGAACCGGTCTTGGTACTTGTTCATTAACATCTTCCCAACTAAGTTGGAGATAAAATAAGGTTTTAAGCAAATGATCCATTTTAGCCCCCTTCCCCTGCCAATAATATTTTTTCATCCTCACATTTTTGTGCCATATAGAATTTGAAATAATTGCAATTTTGAAAAAAAAAAGTTGGGAATACTTGTGTGTTACTGATGCCATTATTATGACTCCAACATTAGAGTCTGCATCATTTCTCTAGGCAAGCAGCCCCTTCTTTTCTAAAATAGAAAGTTTTTAGGTCCATAGAGAAATATGGCTAGGGTATTCCTGCTCAGTGAGACAGGAAGCAGAATGTCTCAAGAATAAAAAAAAAATGGAGGCAGGAACATAATCTTCAGTTGAAATTAATTGGAGCAATGGTTGATAAATGTTTTGAACTTAACTCAAACTATTTCTGCTATTACTTTTGTTTTAAAAGGTCAGAAATGCATGAGACATGTTGTTAAGTAAGACTTTTACTTAGGAAGTTAAGTGTTAGAATATTTTTGAAACCATAATGTTCAGAGTTATATTTCCATGCTATAAATTCACGAGATACGAGTGTTAAACCATTACTGTACTTCAGCATCCTCTCAGGACCTACCTCCATTTTGGACTTCTAGAAACTTCTGTGGATCCTTGGTCCCTTTCTTGATGACAGAATCTGACTGTAATTGTTTAGCAGTAAAGTGATTACATTTTACTACATGTCAAATTCCACCAATGTTCAATAGCACGAGGCACAAGATAAAATATTAAAACAGCTGAGCTAAAGAGTGAAGCAGTCCTTGGAGAGAGGACTTGAGGTGGAATGCTGGAAATGTAATGGGATGCTCAAAAGTTTTTGATCAAATTGTGAGCAATAGCAAAATGATGTAAGTCAAATGTATTCTCAGGGATCATTGCATAAATGTCCCCATTTCCGAACATGTCTACCATCCCTTCTGAGTCTGAATATAACCTGAACAAGCTGGAATTTGATCAGCATGAGTATTGTTTAATGTATAGTTTGGCAATTTACTTGTTTTCTGTGACTCATATATAGTATTAGCTTTTTATACTATTATTTTATTCAATGAACAGATAATTTGTATGGGGGCTGGCACCCTCTTTTGTTATTTAATATTTTTACTTTATTTAACTTATTGTTTATGTACATTACAGCAATAAATTAAGCAACCAATAAAATTCCCTGTTGATAAGACAGACGTTTGTGTCTTCTTTGGGGTGCTCTTCTGGCAGGGTCAAGCTATTCCACCACCAGCCACTCCCCCACCGAAGTACATGAAAGGGGTGGGTGGGAACCCCATTCCTCCATCTCAGGCAATCCCCTTGAGTCTGCACTCACTGCGCTAGAAAGCAATTCCCACGCACTCCGTGACAATACAGTCTGACATCTACATCTGGAATTGTTTAGAACCTCCAATCAAAATAGCTCAGTGGTCTCTGTATGGCACAGTTCAGTTCAGTTCCCTTTTGGATTGATAAATGCTCCCACTTTATTGTCTGCACATGAAGATCCAATTAAACTGATTCATTGCTAAAAAGCCTTTGCACAGGATCTTCTCAACGAATGGCTAGCACTTGCTTGGAGTTAGATAAGGCTGAATGGAATTCAAGGGGGTGGGTTATGTAGGGATTCTAGGCTGATCCTTCTTTTAACTCTGCCCCCTGTACTACTCCTACGCTTACATTTGTAATCCGTGTCCATTCAATTAGACTATCATTGCAGACATTCAGATGTGTAGCTAGGACTCTTATTACGCTAACTCAGATTGCTGGCTGCGCTAACCAGTATTATCTGTTCAGACAGCCAAGAAGTCAGGAAGCATTTCTAGCTAAGGTCTCTGATAGCAGGAAGAAGGGCCAGAAAGAGAAATGGCAAGCAACATTGTTTATTTTTGCAGAATAACTGAAACAGGGCTTTACACTTTTCTAATCAAACATCGGTATGAGAAAATTCAGGAGCTACATTTAAACCAAGATTCTCAGCCAGGTCCATCTTTTCAGTGAAGAGTGTCCATATCATCCTGAGAGTGTTTCCTAAACCCTTGTTGCCACATTAAAGCAGTTGTGGTGAGTAAGCAGCTTAACACCCAAGAGATAGATGACCAGCCTATAAATCCCCTCACCCTCATGGCTCCACCTTTAAGGCTTTTCTCCACAGTCTTTGGTGAGCTGAGAACATCCCAAGGAACCAGGCAAGGTAGCAAGACGTCCCCTTCCCACTTCCCCCTTTTGGATAGAAGGCTCATCCCTACAGAAGACAGCCTGCTCCTGCTGGTTCTGGCTTGTTTTTCTAGGGCACAGAAAACCAGGAAAGGAGATCAGAGACTAAATGTCAACTGTCCAGTTGGCATTTCCAGAGAAAAGAAACTCCTGGGAGGGACATGATTTGACCAAGAATATAAATACTGTACTGAAAATTTACATCGGCACAGAAGAAAGCAGAACCAGCTCTGGCTTTCCCACTTGAAGGCTTGCTTAGTTAAACAACAGACTCCCTCCCCTCACCCATCGGGTGTTCACACTGTCCAATAGTAATATTTCTTCTTCTTATGGAAACAGTCCGCTTCTCCTTCCAGTGGTCTCGGTTGCCCAGACATCACCCCCCCCACACACACACCTTTGCGTTCCATTGTCAAGATAGGAGCAAAAGAGAAAAGCTAGGTGGTGAAAAGGCAAACCACTCTTGACATGCTGACCCTCCCTGGAAAGAAAGGCAGACCTGGAACAACAATAAATGTGTAAACACAGTATTACGTACAACCCAATTACCGCTACATTCCTTAATGGGGCCGCTGAGGATACCTAACGTGAAATTTCTTCACTAACTCACTGCCCTAACTAACATCAAGGCAGCCATCCATTGGGTAGCCTTCCTACAGTACTAGATACTGTAATTTTCCCCTTTGGTATCTGGAATCGAGAATCTTTTTAATCTCGGAGTTTGCAATGTGAAAGGAAAGACTTTCCTACTAATTCTCTACTAATATGAGGATGTTACACATTAGCAGCAAATAATGCTGAAGACAGGATCCTTTCTATTATTCATATTAATCACATTTGATGGTGTTACTGGGTCATACAACTCTACAACAGGATTAACAATCTCCATATTTCTTAAGCTTCAGGTATTACCCATCATTTTATAGCAATGTTCCTTTTTCTGTCAGAAGCGGCAGTCTGGCCATCGTCCATCTGGGGGAGCCAAACTATAATTTGCAGTAATAACTTGGGTTATTCACTCTGTGCAGGATGGGAGTTTAGGGACAGTTTTCAAACATGATTTTGGTTAGCCACATTCATTCAAAAATACTTGCAGGAATCCTATACACAGCCACTTTAGACAAATTCCATACACATCCAGAATTTTTTACACAGAGTCACGCTGCAATATAAGATACACAAGCCCTGGTTTATTAGGCTAACGGAGGAGTACCCTGAAAACTTATCCTGCAGGCACATGGTCAGGAGAGGCACCCGTGACAAGGGTGAGGCTTTGATTGCACACTTCCTGAATGTCCTGACAAAAACAAAGACCCCTAAAATCTACATACCCCACCCAAACTCTAAAGACATGACCTTTAGGACATGATAGGATTAACCCACCAATACCAAAAAGGGCACACTCAGACTCAGATCAAAGCACATGACACAGGGAATACACAGCCTCAAACAGGAACAACTCCAAACACAAAAGCCCAAGAAGGTATAAAAACCCACCACTCCCAGCACCATGTAGTCAGCTGCTCCAGAGCCTCATGTCTTGTGGTTCTGCTCTTCAATAAACTACAACCTTCTTTCTAAAGCAGTCTCCATTTTGTTTATTCCCGGCTTGGGCTGGACCCTGAAGAAGATTTTTCTTTCAACAATAGATTAACTCAAGGGTGTCTGCAAGGTATGGCCAAAAAAGCCAAGATGGTGACTATAACAATGCAGGTAAAACTGTGTTTATTTTCAAGTTGTGGCTGCTATCCTGACTTTCTCGACCATCCCCTGCAGACGCCACCGGTTTAATTGAAGGGCCGATGGCTCTTTTCTCACATCAGACTGCTGTTCATCTGCTGCTCAGTCATCCTGTTTCCCAACATTCCCCTTTCTCTCCTTCCTATCTTCTCCTTCATTATCCATGAGTGCTTCACTGCACTCTTTCAAGTCCAACCATCTGCCCAAACAAGCCAGTTTTCCCACCGGGACAACAGAGAGTTAAAATGGTTGCTTGAAGCTTTTGAGCAGTTTCTGGCATAATTCTGTCTCTTCTGCCACCCCCTGACCGGACAACAACTTTGCAACCACAAGGGCTTCATTTTGGAAGAGGGAGTTTGGCAGAAGAGTTCCTACAAGAACCACAAAAAGTCTACACAGGGCCAAAGATTTGTTTTATTTTCAAAAGCACCAGGCAAGAAAGGGCAGGCCATCAGAAGGTCATTTTGTACTTTTGTGCATGATTACCAGGAAAAAGGAAGCTTGCCTTCCCCTTTCTGGTCTAAATTTGCAGCAACATTATTGTTACTATAGCAACCTGGTTGATCTACTGCAGGCTGATTTATTTTTTTTTATGAAGGAATCCACTTCCACAAGCACGTGCTCCCTGCAGATCCCTCAGGAGGATCGCAT